TACCTCGTTTCTTGCAGCTTAGATAAACTGCTGGATTCAGGCTTGTATACGGGAGAGATAACGGAGCTGTCAGGAGGAGCAGGAAGCGGCAAATCTCAGGTGAGCATTCCCTCTGCGTCCCGCAGTACCACGGGTCCTTTCAGCCTCTTGAACTCTCTCCTGCTCTGGAGGAATGTGGCTGAATAAATGGCTTCGGCGGACATTGTTTTAGAAACGTTGGAGCGTTTCAGCCTGCTCTCTCTCATGTGTTTTCAGGTGTGTTTTGGTGTGTCGGTGCACACCGCACACCGCCTGAAGCAGAGCGTGATCTACATCGACACAACAGGAGGGCTCACCGCCAGCCGCCTGCTGCAGATCCTGCAAACCGAAACAAATAATACAGACGAGCAGGTGAGGCGCAAGATGTTGTTTTACACAAGTATGATGTTTAATATAAAACGAGCTGACAGTTAAAACTTTTCCTCTGTAGATGGAAGCTCTACAGAGGATTCACACCTTCCGCCTGTTTGACGTCTACGCTCTGCTCGACTGCCTGTACGGGCTCAGCGGCGGCGGCCTTCAGAAGGTTCGTTTGCATAAAACACACCAGCCGCGCCGTCGGGACCTTCGGGAAGGAGGGCCAGGCTGTCTAAATTTGTCACATTTTGTGTCGAGGCGTGTGTCGGCGGCGGCTCTGTCAAGGCGGTGATCGTGGACTCTGTGTCAGCCGTTATCGCTCCTCTGCTGGGAGGCAAACAGAACGAAGGTGAAGATCTCTTTCTGCTGCTCTGTCACATTCAGGGAAACCCCAGGCTGTGCTCACATCTGCACCTTCCTCATCTGTGGAGCCCTGTGTGTTTTATGAAGGATGACATTTACATAAAAGGAAGAATAACAGTAGCAGTAGAGTCAGAGTAAAGTTAAAGTAGAGTGATAGCTTAGTAAAAGTAAAAGTCTCATTCCATTGACTTTGTTCAGCTTTATTGTTATTTAATTCAATTGTTTTGTAAATTAACAGCTGCTAAACTACCAGATGTTTAAGGTAGCTGTATATGGATGAAAACCAAAGGCAGCATTCTAGCAGCTTAATGCTAAGTTAGGATATTTGGAAAACAAATTCCATTCTATTCAGGTTATTTCTATAGCTCCAATTCACATCATGTGATCTCAAGGCACTAGATCATCCAGTCAGATTGATTCAAAGTTTTCTAT